GCAGTTATGTACTTCACTAGGAGGATCACTAAACCCGTAAGGGCCATACAACCCCCGAAAACTAAAGAATGAACCAAACCGGACCCCCTTAACCTAAGCTCCACCACCTTGGAAGAGGAGCCCCATCACCCACCGAGGGCGAGCCCCGAGGTGGAGGTATGGAGGTCAGAGTACTTGACAGGTGCACAGTGCTCAAAATTTGCAGGATTTGAGAAATAATCTGTGAGTCTGGGTAGCTCAGCACCAGCCTCCACCAGCTCAGTATGGAGCTCCAGCGCCGTCAGTAGCAGCTTCTCCTGCAGCAGTTTACACGCTACTTCGTCCCATGACACGTACAGGTGTCTCTCCCTCTTCTTGACCTCTGTACCACCAGGGAATGACCTCTTAACACCTGGGAAATTCTCACTCTGGAGCTCCTGTGTGTCCGCCATAGTAAACAATGACGGGATAACTGACTAAAATATTGTCTCATACCGACATGTATTTTACAAGTCTCCCTTACGCGTTTAGAGCTTCTCTCTAAACAATTATATTGTACAACTTAATAAATTTTTGTTTAGCAACATGAAAGAAGAAGGAAATAAGCAAATACCTGTGATACCTGCCTAAAATATTAATTAATACTAACATCTAATTTACACGTCTCCTTCCGTTTAGCGTTCCAGTAAGCAGTTTTTCTTGTCAATTTTTTTGGTTTGAACATAAAGGCAAAATAATAAACCCTTATACCGTGTACCTGTTCTGTCAGTCTTGTAAATTTTCTGCCCCGTTTGTGATGTCTGTCAGTCTTGGCTGTTCTGTCTTTGTGACTGTTCTGTCATCTTGTGACTGTTCGTCGTCTTGTGACTGTTTGTCAGTCTTGTGCTGTTCTGTCAGTCTTGTGACTGTTCTGTCAGTCTTGTGCTGTTCTGTCAGTCTTGTGACTGTTCTTCATCTTGTGACTGTTCGTCGTCTTGTGACTGTTTGTCAGTCTTGGTCTGTTTGTCGTCTTGTGAGTTCTGTCAGTCTTGGATGTTCTGTAGCTTGTGACTTTTTCTGTCGTTTTGGACTGTTCTGTCAGTCTTTTGACTTTTTCGTCAGTTTGTGATGTTCTGTCAGTCTTGTGTCTTTTCGTCAGTCTTGTGACTTTTTCTGTCAGTCTTGTGATGTTCTGTCAGTCTTGTGAGTTCGTCAGTCTGTGACTGTTCTGTCAGTTTTGGGGCTGTTCTGTCGGTCTTGGACTGTTCTGTCGTCTTGGGGACTGTTCTGTCAGTTGTGCTTTTCTTCGTCTTGGGGATGTTCTGCAGTCTTGTGATGACAGAACTAATTTAAAATAATTTTTAACTAATTTATTATAAATTGACACATGTGCAACTCTTGGGTATCTTTATTGAGGAAACGTTTCGCCACACAGTGGTTCATCCCCATACATAGGAGAAACTTAAAAGAACGGGGGAAAATGAGGTAATCCCCCTCAACCTTGAGTCGATGTGTTAGATGAGGGCCCTGAACACTTCGACTCAGGTGGGGACTGATTCCCTTTTTCCTCCTTTTCTTAAATTTTTCTCCTATGTAGGACGATGAAGCCCCTGGTGGCGAAACGTTTCCTCAAAAAAAGATACCCAAAAGTTGCCATGGTCTAAATTTTTCAACAGTCGGTTTTTCCGAAAAATTATCAAAAACTAATTTTTTACTTTCTTCCGTAAAGTTTTTGGGTGTTTCCACAATAAAGAATTTGAATTTTTTATTAATTTTATAAGGCTTTTGTAGAGTTCCCCACCAAGACTGTTAAAAAAGTGGCAGCTCTGGCATTGGGGGAAAAGGCTCTCTGGATCGAGTCAAGGATCATGACGGAAGCAGAAGGGGTCCCAAAAAGGGGTTAAATCGGTGGGGATCGTAACAAGTGGCGTTCCACAGGGATCAGTCTTGGGGGCCCTTGTTGTTTTAAATATATCAATGATCTTTATGAGGGGAAATTTCTTGATATGAGCAAATTCGCCGATACACAAAAATTAGGTAGGTAAAAGTTCAAAAAGTAATGTTAGGGGAAATTCAGGAGGATTTAACAAACTCATCTTGGGCAGAAAAGTGGCAGATGCAGTTTAATGTGAAAAAGCGGGTTTAGCTTGGGAGGCCCCTAAACCCCAGTACTTATAAGTTAAAAGAGTAGAATTGCCATAGGTGCGAAAAAGGGTTTTGGGGTTATGGTGGCAGCAAAACCTTAAACCCAAAAACAGCAAGCCAGCGCGAATAAGGCAAAAAGATTACTGGGATTTTTATCAAGAAGTGTAAACAAAGAATCCAGGGTATACTGCCGCTTTATAATCTTAAGGCCTCACCTGATTATGCAGCCAATTTGGGCTCCATTAACAGAATGGCTAAAAACGTTAGAAAACTTCCGTAGGTGATAAAATTAAAACATAGCATTAGAAATCTTCTTATGAAGAAAGATTGAAGACTCTTAAGTTCATTTTACTTGTTTGACGAAGAAGAGGGAACCTGATCAAGTGTATAAGTGGAGATAGGATTTAAAAAGGGGGAAAAATAGGTCTTGAGGATTTCTCCCTGAGAGAACCCGCAGTAATGGATTTAAAATTTGAAAAGTTTTGATTTAGAAAGGACATGGAAAGTATTGGTTTGGAAATAGGGGAAATTGATGGTGGAACAGTTACCTATTTTGGGTTATGAGGCTAGGACTTTTTGGGGAAATTTTTTTTAAATTTATTGGATAAGTACATGAGTGGGAGGGGTTTGGGTTTGGTGGGACTTTAATCAGAGTTATTTTTTGGGTGGCATTGAAAAAAAGGGTTTGGGGAAATGTTTTTTTGTGGGATGAATTGTAAAGGAACTGCTAGTTTTGGGGCCAAAGGCCTCGTCGTCTTGTGAATGTTTTTCATTTGTGATGTTGTCGCTTGTGACTGTTTTGTCGTCTTTGCTGTTTGTCAGTCTTGTGACTGTTCTTCGTCTTGTGAGATTTGTCAGCTTGTGTGATCTGTCACCTTGTGTGTTTTGTAGCCTTTGTTTCTGTCAGTCTTGTGAAGTTCTTTTATCTTGTGACTGTTTTCTCGGTCTTGTGAAGTTCTGTCAGCCTTTTGATCTCTGTCAGCCTTTTTGGGTGTTCTGTCGTCTTTTGACTGTTCTGTCAGTTTGTGTGATCTGTCAGCTTTGTGACTTTCTGCGCCTTTGGACTGATCTGTCGTCTTGTGACTGTTCTGTCAGTCTTTTGATGTTCTGTCGTCTTGGACTGTTCTGTCGTCTTGTGACTGTTCTGTCAGCTTTGTGCTTTTGTCGCCTTGTGACTGTTCTGGGAGTCTTGTGATGATTGCCAGCCCCTTGTGCTGTTCTTCAGTTTTGTGACGTTTTGTCAGTCCTTGTGACTCTTTTGTCAGCCTTGTGACTGTTCTGTCAGTCTTGTGACTGTTCTGTCAGTCTTGTGACTGTTCTGTCAGTCTTGTGACTGTTCTGTCAGTCTTGTGACTGATCTGTCAGCCTTGTGACTGTTCTGTCAGTCTCGTGACTGCTCTGTCAGTCTTGTGGCTGATCTGTCAGCCTTGTGCTGTTCTGTCGCTTGTGACATCGTCATTGTGACTGTTCTGTCAGTCTTGTGGCTGATCTGTCAGCCTTGTGATTGATCTGTCAGTCTTGTGACTGTTCTGTCAGTCTTGTGACTGTTCTGTCAGTCTTGTGACTGTTCCGCCAGCCTTGTGACTGATCTGTCAGCCTTGTGACTGTTCTGTCAGTCTTGTGACTGATCTGTCAGTCTTGTGACTGTTCTGACAGCCTTGTGACTGATCTGTCAGCCTTGTGACTGATCTGTCAGCCTTGTGATTGATCTCTAAGTCTTGTGACTGTTCTGTCAGTCTTGTGACTGTTCTGTCAGCCTTGTGACTGTTCTGTCAGTCTTGTGACTCTTCTGTCAGTTTTGTGACTGTTCTGTCAGTCTTGTGGCTGATCTGTCAGCCTTGTGACTGTTCTGTCAGCCTTGTGACTGTTCTGTTCGTCTTGTGACTGTTCTGTCAGCCTTGTGACTGTTCTGTCAGTCTTGTGACTGTTCTGTCAGCCTTGTGCCTGATCTGTCAGCCTTGTGACTGTTCTGTCAGTCTCGTGACTGCTCTGTCAGTCTTGTGGCTGATCTGTCAGCCTTGTGGCTGTTCTGTCAGCCTTGTGACTATTCTGTCAGTCTTGTGACTGTTCTGTCAGTCTTGTGGCTGATCTGTCAGCCTTGTGATTGATCTGTCAGTCTTGTGACTGTTCTGTCAGTCTTGTGACTGTTCTGTCAGTCTTGTGACTGTTCCGCCAGCCTTGTGACTGATCTGTCAGCCTTGTGACTGTTCTGTCAGTCTTGTGACTGATCTGTCATCTTGTGACTGTCTGCAGCCTTGTGACTGATCTGTCAGTCTTGTGACTGATCTGTCAGCCTTGTGATTGATCTTAAGTCTTGTGACTGTCTGTCAGTCTTGATACTAGTTCTGTCAGCCTTGTGACTGATCTGTCAGTCTTGTGACTCGTTCTGTCAGTTTTGTGACTGTTCTGTCAGTCTTGTGACTGATCTGTCAGCCTTGTGACTGTTCTGTCAGTCTTGTGACTGTTCTGTCAGTCTTGTGACTGTATCTGTCAGCCTTGTGACTGTTCTGTCAGTCTTGTGACTGTTCTGTCAGCCTTGTGACTGTTCTGTCAGCCTTGTGACTGATCTGTCGGTCTTGCGACTGATCTGTCAGTCTTGTGACTGATCTGTCAACCTTGTGACTGATCTATCAGCCTTGTGACTGTTCTGTCAGTCTTGTGACTGTTCTGTCAGTCTTGTGACTGTCTGTCAGTCTTGTGACTGATCTGTCAGCCTTGTGACTGTTCTAGTCAGTCTGTGACTGATTCTGTCAGTCCTTGTGACTGTTCTGTCAGCCTTGTGACTGTTCTGTCAGCTTGTGACTGTTCTGTCAGTCTTGTGACTGATCGTCATCTTGTGCTGTTCTGTCAGTCTTGTGACTGATCTGTCAGTCATGTGACTGATCTATCAACCATGCGACTGATCTATAAGCCACGTGACTGATCTATCAGCCATGTGACTGTTCAATCAGCCATGTGACTGATGTATCAGCCATGTGACTAATCAATCAGCCATTGACTGATCTATCAGCCACGTCACTAATCTATCAGCCATGTGACTGTATCGGAAACATGGCTTATCTAAAAGCCATGTGGCTGATATACCAAGATCAAGATTATTATAATACTGATAAACCCGCATGGGTCACACATCACGTGGCAGGTTATCAGGTCTGATCCATGGTGACAGTGGCTCCAGTTCCTTGGATCAAGAGCCCTGGAGCAGCCACATACAACACAGTCATAAATATACCACAAATGTAAATTTTGCATCAGCTGATTTCTGTTGTCATGGCAACGCAAGAATGTCAACAAAAAACAGCTGATGGGCCCCCATCGTTGCCATGGCA